GTCATTGCTGATGTTAGATGGATCTTAACTGAAAGCAAAGAATACCAGAAAAATGTTTACCTGTTTTTTATTGACTGTGCAAAGGCATTTGAACGTGTGGACCATAACAAATTATTAATAACATTGTGAAAATGGGAATTTCGGAACACTTAATTGTGCTCCTGAGGAACTTGTACACAGACCAAGAGGCAGTCATTTAAACAGAACAAGGGTAGTACTGCATGATTGAAAATCAGGAAAGGTGTTCATCAGAGTTTGTACCCTTTTAGCATACTTACTCAACCTGGAGGCTGAGCATATAATCACAGAAGCCAGATTATACGAAGAGGATAGTGACATCAGGATTGGAGGAACTCATGAACAACGTGCCATATGCAGGTAACACAAACTTGCTTGCTGAAAATGAAGATTTGAAGCACCTACTGATGTAAATAAAAGACTACACTTAACATAAACAAAACAAAAATCTTCACAACTTGACCAGTAAGCAACATCTTTGATAAATGGAGAACAGATTGAAGATTTCATTTTACTTTGATCCATAATCATAGTCCATGGAAGCAGCAGCGAAGAAATCAAACAATGTATTGTATTGGACAGATCTGCTGCAAAAGAACTCTTCAAAGTGTTTAAGAGCAAAGATAATACTTTGAGTCTGACCCAAGCCATGACATTTTCAGTAGATTCGTAAGAGCTGTAGAGTGAATAAGGAAAACCACAGAAGAATTCATGCTTTTGAATTGTAGGGTTGGCAAAATATGTTGAAGATACTGTGGACTGCTAGAAGAACAAACAAATCTGTCGTGGAGGATGTACAGCTAGAATGTTCTTTAGAAAGAAGAATGGCCAGACTTCATCTCTCATACTTTGGTCCCATTGTTAGAAGGATATCATGGTGGATAAAGTGGATGGTCAGCAAAAAAGGGGAAGACCCTCAATGAGATGATTTGACACAACAGCTGCAATGATTGTGAGGCTGGCACAGGGTTGGGCAGTGTTTCATTCTGTTGTACATAGGGTCACTATTGTTTGAGACCAACTTGATGGCACCTAAGAACAACAACAACAGCCATAAAAATCATTGTGCTAGTAGTGAGATCTCTGTGTGTATGTGTTGTGAATTATCCACCTTCCCAACATGGGCTTATTTCCAGCTGATTTTGGAGGAACTATTCACATTGCTTAGTTTTTCTTCTTTTTTTTTTTTTTCTTAAAGGTTAATTTTACTATTCTTATTATTCTAGGAAATCATATTCTTCTTATTGTAGATCATGAAGATGAAGCAGGTGCAATAAATACCAGGCGGCAAAATATAAGGGGTCAGATGTGAAGTGGAGAAAGCTGAAGTTTCAGAGTATTACTGAAAAAGGACATGACCAAGGAGCACTAAGATAAACAATCTGAATAAACATCATAGGAAAGGTTAGGAAAGAAGTAGAAAATTTGATGAGTAAAGTTTCCATTGAAGAGAGATCAAAATCAACTAAAAGAGAAATCAGAGAAGTAAGGAAAATACTATTTTAGATTTCTAAATAATAACTTGTGAAGTTCTTCATAGAATTGAATATCAGAGAACCAAGTCAGCCCTTTGTAGTGGTAGAGTCACTCCTCCAGAGAACATCACAGACACACTGTGGAAAAAAAGAGTAAATTATGTGCCCAGAATACTTACACTCTCTCTCCACCTTATTCACTCAAGCTCACTGGTATGAGTCACTCTGATAAGCTATCTTTTCTTTTCTCATAAAAAAGAATGATTCAATATTTTTTTAAAAAATACAAGTAATATGAAATCAGATAATCCAACTAAAAAGACTAAAATAATTTAAACTTCATTTTTCTTCTCCAATTTGCAATTAATGGAACTGCATAATTGGAAGTTTTATGAGCCAAATGAGAGTGCCTTGAATATAATAGTTCAGAGTCTCCATTGGTCCCTTGTATATATAGTACATGCATTGGTGTAAACCCAAGAGAAACAAAACTAAATATTCTATATTAACATTGCATTTAAGTGCTTTTTAGTGAATCAGACTTGAATCAATAAAACAATTTTCTTTAAAATGGTGAATAATATATTTGAGTAGTCAGCATAATTTTAATTTATGTGCTTTGCAACTCTGTTTAATATAACTTTGTGTGCTGATGGAAATGTTCTTCTACTATGTCCAGTATGGTAGTCCCTAGACATATGTGCCTACTGAGCAATTAAAATGTGATGAGTGTTACTAGAAAGCTGAGTTTTTCATTGTGTTTAATTTTAATTAATTTAGATTTAAATAGCCACATCATTTTCATGCCTTCGTCATTATACTCCTTGTATTTAATTGTTAATGTAGTCTTTTTCTTTTCACTCTCTCCCATAAGACTCTAAATCTCTTATCACACCCAATGTGTTGCGCATTTTCTGACTGAGTCAGTTCTTTGTGTGTGTCTATGTGTGTTTGTGTGTATGTGCATTTATGTATAGACATTTACTTAGCTACAGCTGCTAACATTGATTGCTTCCTTCATTTTTTTCAATACATATTAACTGAATACCTAGTAAATAAAAGATGTTTTAATAGGTCCTGTGAGGAATTTAGGATATGCAGCATGCATCATGATTTGAGTTTATGACTGTGTTCTACCACATGTAGATAAGATTGAGACCACGTAATTTGCACCCTTGATAAGTGCCTATTTGAAATTATAGCTATAATAGTAACTCTTGTTCAAAGCTTCACCTTTAACAATATTAAATTTGAAAGGACTATGTGGGAAGTGTCTTGGTCTATAACAAAATAACGAATTCTGTGTAAGTCCTAAAAATGCAAATTATCTTAAAATAGTAAATTAAATATAAGTTCTAAGCTCTTAACTTATTGAATATGGATCCCATTGGTATTTACTCTTAATAAACTATTAAACTAACTTAACATGGATGATGTAGTAAGTGACAGTTTGAAACTCTGATGGGGCATGCACATCACTTGTACAAGTAAGTTTAAAGCTCTGTTTAGCATATTTACTAGCTTAGAACATGGTAAAATTTACAGCAGGGAACTAAAATTTAATGGTAGTTGTGGAACATGAATCCTCCCTTCCTATGGAATATGATTAAATACTTTCATTTGGTTTTAAACTTCTAACATACCTGTCAAGGCTTGAGGCATGATAATGAAATGGCCATTCAGAAAGATTTCTTTCTTAATTAGGTCTTAGCAAGTAAGTCAACATTGAAAACAAAAAGTGTATCAAAGTGGAGCATAGAATGTTTGATGTTTTGAGTTGAACCATTTATTGTTTTGAAGAACATCTTTTAAAAAAAAATTTGCCGACCTTTATCTCCACTGAAATTAGTACCACAATGAAATAAATGGGTAGCTCATATATGTAGTACAATATCTGTCTGTGTAACAGATAATGAAGGGGGAGGGGAGAATTAAAAACATAGTGAAACTGAAAAGAGTCACTTTGAATCCAAAGAGAAAGATTCCATTTATGAGGGTCCCCATGTCTGAATAAGGAGCTCTAGTGTCACAGGGGTTGAAGTATTAAGCTGTTAACCACATGATGGGCTGTTTGACTCTACTAGCTGCTCCACTTGAGAAGGATGTGGCAGTGTGCTTCCATAAAGATTTGCAGTCTTGGAAATCTTGTGAGATAGTTGTCCTCTGTCCTCTAGGTTTGCTGTGAGTTGGAATTGACTCAGTATCAGTGGGTTTTTATTTCTGAATGTTATTTTTCCTTTCAAACATGCTGCATTAGAATTTTTATGTGATAATGAGAGGATGCAATAAAAAAGTTTGACTGCAGTGTGTCTGATGGCTTCTAAGGAGGACTTGTTCATAAATTTTATAGAGTGAATCATCCATCCATCGAGAGAATTATTTTGTACCTTGCTTAGTACTCAGTAAATATTGGTTGACTAATTGACAGTACTGAGTTCCATGCTATGGCTTAGGTACTGCTATCAACGCCTGAAAAATCTTCTCTCTATATCCTCTCTATTTTCTTCACTACATAGTAAAACCTATCAAATTTTTAGATTGTGTCTCATTGGTCGTGACATGAAACAAAATGATGAAGGCTCTTTAACTTCGCAAAGGATCCTCTTGCTTGAATTAAAGTTTTCTTGCTTGAATTAAATTATTAGTAAACAGAATCATATGAGCTTCCAAGTTCTTTGCTGAGGGCAGAACAGTGAAGGGATTAAGAAAATAAATTCACTATAGTTTTCTTTTACCTGAGAAAACAGTTTTCAAGAAAACATTTTCTTGGTTTGGTGTTTGAAATGTTAAGGAAAATGGGTAGTAATACTTGACATTGTAACTTTGAGTCAGAATGTGGACATCCACAGGTTAATAAGAAACACTACATACACACACACAGAGAGAACTGACTCTGTGTCAGAAAATGTGCAAGGCATTAAGTGTCCTTAGGGACTTCAGAGTCTTATGGGGCAGAGTGACTGGGAACTTCCATGAAGAAGAGTGATACTGCCCATAATTGTGTGAATAAGCATGTATTTTTCACTTGTTTTGGTAGTATGCTTATGTTCCATTTATTTAGACATCTTTATTAAGGGGCTTTAGTGGTATAGTGGATAAGGCATTTAACTGCTAACCAGAAGGTTTGCTGTTCAAACCCACTAGCTGCTCTGTGGAAAGGAGATGGGGCAATCTACTGCTGTAAAGATTTACAGCCTCAGAAACCCAACGGGGGTCTCTAAGAGTCAGAATCGACTCAATGGCAGTGTTATTTTTTTTTTTTTCCTTTCAGTAGCATGTTTTGAAATTACTAATTCGTGTTGCTGCCCTGAACCTTTTCTTTAGGAGAGAATATAAAAACTGACAAAAGAAACACTTAGTATTTTCTAGGGTTGTTTACTTGGAGGAAAGAAAAGTTGTGAAAATTATATTTAATATCAGAGTAATTGGATGTATTTTAAATTATAGATAAACTGCTAGAGACAGGTAAATAGAATATTTGTTTCACTCAGATAAGTTTTTCAACAGGTGCGGTTCTGGTATCATTTGTGTCAGCATTCATATCTCTCAGTTTTTACAAGAACATCACTAGATGGAAAGTTGCAAAAGCAAGGTGATTTAATTGGATCCTCCAAATCTCAGTGGACCCAAGCAAACATCGATCTCTACATAAAGACTGGGGAATCTACTCTGCCTTTTCAGGTAAGCACATAAGAAAGTAATACAATTCAGCTAAAGAGGCCTATTTGATGTTAATTGTTTCAGAAAGTAAAATAACACACATACTCCTTAAGTTTATTTGGCATGAATAAAGCAACTGCATTCATAATCAGGGATGAGTAGAGAAGTTATTTTGACTAAGTGCTTAAGACTTATCTTTGGAAAAGTAGCAAAAGGGAAGGTAAGTTAAGAACATATGTGAGAGGAGAGTAATTTAACAGGAAAAAAAAATTTTTCATATGAAGTAGTGAAAAACTATGACTTGCACTGCATTCACCTTTTTAATTCTTTTGCCTCGTTTTTTACTGTCCATTAAGATTAATGATTTTATCAATTTTTATGTTATTGTCTTGGTTACTTAAAAGCAACTGTAGCTTTTCAAATGAGTGTCCCTCCTGGACATGGTTTACTACTGGATGAGGTTTGAAAGGCATACTTTCAGAAATGAGATTTGATGGTGTAGTGTGGTGGAAAACATACTGGCTTTGGTGTCAGGTGGTCTGAGTTCAAGTCACTGCTGGCTCACTGGTTGGTAAGTGACTGTGCAACTAATACATTTGCGCCTCAGATTCCTAATTGGTGAAAATCACAGTGATGATAAATGCAAATATTTCAGGGGCGTCTGGGTATTAAAGAGATGAAAGCTAAAATGGTGGCCAGGAAAATGAACTCTAGAGCCTGGGCTTCAAACCAAAGGGTACAATCATAGGGAACTTACTTAAATGCTCTGTGCTTCTGAATATTTGTCTATAAAATAAAGGAGGTGATAATTGAGGCTTTAGGGGCACATGATAAGGACTACTGGTAGCATCATGCCTAAGGCATTTGACTGCTAACCAGAAAGTTGGCAGTTCACATCCACCAGCCACTAGGCAGAAGGAAAATGAGGCAATCTACTTCCATAAAGCTTTACTGCCTCGAAACCTGATGGGGATCACTATGAGTCGGAATTGACTGAATGGCAGTGGGCTTGTTTGTTTGTTTGTGTTTTAGGGACCCATGATAAATCACATACCACCTGTGGGCCTAATATATGAATCAATAAAATAACTCACTGACATAGAGTTGATTCTGACTCATAACGACACCCATTGGGTATAAAAGGCTACAAATCTTCATGGAAACAAACTGGCTCATCTTTCTTCCACAGAGTAGTTGATGGGCTCAAATCACTGAGCTTTTGATTAGTAACTGGAAGTCAAATAGATAGAGGGTAAACTACTTTGTAGAAAATGTTTTTAGAATCTGCAGCCATATATTTTAAATATCCTTCCCCTGGGGATATTTACCTAGAGAACAACTGACTCTAGTGGAGAAATGCAGGTCTCCCACTGGGAGAGACTTTTACCACTTGGCTAGAGATAAGTTCAGAATGCTTGCCTTTTATTGGTTTGCTAGTTCCCAAAAGTAAGGGCTTGGGAGGGAGACAGGATTAGTTGAGTACCCATCCCCTCCTTTATTCTTCCAAACTCACTAATCAGATAAATCCTCCTCTTGCAAGGGAAAGAGGTAACTAACAGCAGTGCCACTGTAAGAACTTTCCTTCCCATGTGAACATATGAGGAATTAGGCATAAGTAACAACTCCTATTATTGTTATCTCCTTCATAGAGTGATTGTGAGTATTACATGTGTTTAGACATGCAAAGCACATAGAAGAGAACGTAGTTTAGAATAAATACATAAAAGCTAAAATTTATCACTATGGTTATTATTTGGACATTCTCTGACACTAGGCTCAAAACTCACTCCCATAATGTTAATTTAAACTCATAGCAACCCCTGTTGGGTTTCCAAGGCTTTACATCTTTATAGAAGCAAGCTGCCTCATCTTCCTTCTGTGGAGCAGCTTGTAGGTTTGAACCACCAAACTTCTGGTTAACAGCCAATGCCTTGAACACTACACCATCAGAACTCCTTAAAACACTCAATAAATGTTAGCATCCTTTTTAATTATAAAAGAGACTCTCTTCCACTTCTTAACTCAGTGAAGGCCTCCAAACTCCCTTGATTCTCAAGGATCCCTTACCATATTTACAATTCTAGACTCATATATAATAAACAAAGACACCATAAATCTAGTTGCTGATAATCGGAAAGCATTTGACATAAAGGCCTCTCATGGAAATATTTCAGTGTCAGTTTTCACTCAGTATGTTGGGATAGACAAAAATCAGAAAACAACTGATGTCTTGCTCATGTATTTAAGTTCTATATAAACTAGTTTACCTTTGGTTAAAATGAAACTTACAAAACAGATCTTCCAGTTTATTGTTGTTTCATATATCAAGAAGAAAACAAAATGCCCTTTGTTAGAACTATTTGTTGTTGTTGTTGTTTTGTGCCGTCAAGTCGGACTCGACTCATAGTGATCCCTCCTTGGGTTTCCAAGACAGTATCACTACAGAAGTAGATTGCCCCATCTTCCTTCCGAGGAGTGGCTGGTGGGTTTGAACTTGCCAGCCTTCTGGTTAGCAGTCAAGTGCCTTAGGCACTATGCTACCAGAGCTCCCGTTAGAATTATTTAGTTGAGAATTATTATTAAATTGAAGCAGAGTTGCTGACATATCACACCATTACTGAAAAGTTCCATCACAGTGTAATTTTTCTCCTTTATATTTCTTTTATATGTTTATGTTTTCCTTTGCTTTATAGTACAAATTGAGGCTACTACTAATTATCTGAGGGCATATTAACCAGTTTCTTGATTGACCAGTGGACTGGTTGGATTTTGTAATGTGACAGTGACAAATATATGATGATTTCTTGCATAAACTGCTCAGTTGCTTTCCTCTCTCCCCCTATCTGCCTCAGTGTCCCAGCAACAAGTTTTGGCACTTAATTCTTTCTGGTTAGGGAGTCAGCTTCTCTTTAAACATGAAATCCTTTTAGGAAAGTACCTTATTTATCTATTGCTGCTACAACAGAAAACCCACAAAAAGGTGGTTTTAAAGAAAAGAAATGTTTTTGGCCTCATACTTCGGGAGACCAAAAGTCCAAAAGTCCATTTTAAGATCAAGATCTCGGCTTTGTTGATCACTTCCTTGTCAGTAGCCCCAGACTATTCTTGGTTCCCGTTTTCCCGATGTTCCTTGGCTTGTAGATTGTCTTCACATGCTGCCTGTCTTCCCCAGTGTGAGTGTTTCTGTGTCCATTTAGCTCTTTTTGTAACTCAGAAGTGATTAGGTTAAGGACCCAACCCACACTAGTATGACACTGGCATGAATGAACTGATTGATTGAATTATTTTAATTATTCAATGTAATTGCATTACCATTTACATTAGATTACATTATGGAAGAGCAACTAAACTAATGTTTGGCTAAACGACTGGGAACCATAGCCTAGCCAAGTAGAGACATAAAATTAACTATCACAGAAGGATTCTGGATCCTTTTTGGGCTTTCACCAGCTGCCATGGATTCAGTTCCAACTCATGGTGACCCCAGGTATGTCACAGTAAAACTATGCTCCATAGGGTTTTCAATGGCTGATTTTTGGAAATAGATTATCAGGCTTTTCTTTTGAGCTACCTCTGGGTGAAATTAACCCTCCACCTTTTCATTTAGTAGTTTTAAGAGTTTGCACCACCAGGGTCTCCTTATTGTTGTTGTTGTTATGTGCTGTCGAGTTGGACCTGACTCATAGCGACCCCTCCTTGGGTTTCCGAGGTGCTATCACCATGGAAGCAGATTGCCCAAACTTCCTTCCAAGGAGTGGCTGGTGGGTTTGAACCACCAGCCTTCTGGTTAGTAGTCAAGTCCCTTAGGCACTACGCTACCAGAGCTCCCAGGGTCTCCTTTGTTGTTGTTGTTGTTGTTATGTGCCGTCGAGTCAGCCCCGACTCATAGCGACCCCTCCTTGGGTTTCCGAGGCAGTATCCTTAGCCATGTTTAATTCACCTTGAGAAAATAAGTCTGTGCCTCCTCCTCCTTAATTCTCTTATTTGAAAGTTGGCTATAGTATATGTTTGTTTTACAAACTACAGATAAATAAAAAGAAAAATTTCCTCAAGTGTCATCCTCAAGAAGACCATTACAGATCCAGAAGAATTTCTCTTCTCCAAAATTCAGAAAATTAAAATTTTGAAAGCAATAAGTTTTTAAAAAATCATTTTAGAGGTAAAACTTAACCTGTTCTGGTGTGATATGAAGAGCTTTGGTAGTTCATTTACTGATAGTTTGGATGGTAGAATGCTGTTCCACATCTCCCTGACAGTGTTATATAGTGTATGCTATGTGTGTTAACACTCTCCACTCTGGACTTTTCCAAATTTCAAAAATCATCTGGCCCCGAGGGTTTTAGACTACGAATTGTGAACCTGGGTTAAGATTCTGTTGTAAATCAGTCCAGATTATATACACACATACACACACACTATTATTTAATAAATTGATATTATATGTATTTATTATCAAATATTTCAAAAGTATAGAAAGCAGGGGTAAGAAAATACACATGTATTCACACCTCAGACTTAACTAATGTTAATTTTTTTGTACTTATTTATAGATGCAGCCTTGTTCTTCATACCACTTTCCCATTCATTTCTTGTCCTCTGCAGGAAAAAAAAAAAAAAAATGGTGCTATTGTTCTGTTTTTTTAACTATGGTTTCTCTGAGTGTAGTTTTAAAAGTATGAATATATGCATGAGGAATTTGGCTAGGTGCTTCATCTTTTATCAACATAAATGGGAAAGATGTTATATTACAAAGAGTTAACCTAGCTTTTAATTATTCAAATGTTTTAAATTTATCTTCTTCAAAACAGGCTAAGATTTAGGCACCTTAAATTTAGTGATCTGATCATTTATGGGTGACCTTACTCATTGCCTAGCCATCAATTCAATTTGAAAAAACTCTGAACATATTTATACAAAGTAATCCAATCCAATCCAAATATTGGAAGAGAGAAAGTTATTGGACTAGATGACCTCTGTGTTCTCTTTTGGCCTACAAAGTCTGAGTCATTGTGATCCTGTCC